GAGTAATCTGTATACAGAAGCTTTTCATTATTTCTTCGCAATGAGTATTAATTATCACAGCCCATATAACTACTAAGGGCTTGTTTAGTGAAGTTTTTGTTTGCTAAAAAACTGATCAAACCTAATTTTTAACAACACTTTATTCATAACTTTCATCCAATGTTTCACCTAACATTTCATAGAATAATTTGAATGTAGTATCATTATATTTTGTTGATAATGTAAAAGTAAAAAGTGCCAACATTCAAAAATCAAATTCCAAATCCAAATTTCCAATTCCCTCAATTCCAAATCCAATTCCAAACCCTAAATCCAAATCCAATTCCAATTCCAAATTCAATTTTAATTTTCCCAAATTCCAATTCATAAACCATACATGNTCCAAATTCAAATCCAAACTCCAAATCCAATTTTAATTTCGCCCAATTCCTAATCCAATTCCAAACCCTAAATTCAAACTGAAAACTATTATAAATTATAATTTCATAACTCATAAATAGATAATAAAACCAAAAAAAAAAAAACGATGAGCAGAAATGAGATAACTCAAGGCGTCGCGGAAAAAACCGGGGCAAAGCAGAAGCTGTAGCCGTTCGTTCACAAATCACACAGCGGCCAGTCGGTGGTGGTGAGGATTCACCGGCGGACAGGAGAAGACGGCCGAACAGCTGTGGCGGGAGAAGACGGCCGAACAGCTGGGTTCGCCACTGGCCAAGGCCCGAGCCTTAAACAAAGCCCATTTTTCCCATCATCTTCGATCCAAACCCCTTGCTATGCAACGAGATTGAAGGCGTGTGGATGAATAATCAAACGTCAAAAGAAAGCAATAATAATAACAATCTGAATTGTAGTTGCTCCCCTAGTAAAATATACGGGGTTAAAAGAAAAAGAAATTAGTAAATCATATGGGGTTGAAAAAATAAAAGAAACTATCAAAACACAACTCCCCATTCAATTCACCACACAGAAGAATTCACAAATAAGTCAAAACCAATTACAAATAAGCATCTAATGGACAAATAATCAATTACCATGAGATTCAATGTAACCCGAGTACTGACCTGGTATTTTCCTGAACTTTTTGTTCTTGTGACCTTCAGAAGGCCAAGATTGTGGAAATCTAGCAACCTGTTTCTTTCTCCCAGAAACAGTTCTTGGATCCTTTACAAGCATTAAATCATCCAGAGCAGATGACCAAGCATACTTCACAGCTGAAGATTTGTGATCTTCCACATGATTCTTTCTTCCTGATTCTGGCTTCCTCATACCGTACTTTCTCGATGCCTCCCGAATAGCAATCCCACCCTACTTCTCTACAATGTCATCAAATTTTTCCTTGGAATCACTATGATTACCAGAGACTTCAGAAATTTGACCAACCAACTGATCAACATTTACAATGTTGTATGCCCTACCAATGCCCTCTAAAAGTAATCTGCAGCAACCTCTTCATCAATGTCCGAACCACTATAAGATGAACCATCACTATCAGCGGATGTGCAGGAATCTTATGTGTCGTAAGAACCTGAGCTTTCTTTATCAATCAAATCTTCTTCATCCTCTTCAGAGATATCATTGTAAGTGTTATGCCATAGATCCAATCAACCTTGGACATAAACA